GTAACAAACATTTCTGTTTAGATTGTTTCAATAATAGTCATAGAAAGTGTATAGTGTGAAGAAATCTACGAGTTGTAAATAGAGTGTACATGTTGACGAAGTTTTTTGAATTGAAGAATGTTTGTAAGTTGTGTTTGACGGATCATAAAGGTTGTTTATTGTTGAAGACCTGATAAGTAAACACTCTACTACGTAGTAAAGGCTCTCTCTGATCTACTAAATCTAAGTGAGGAGTGTAACGCAGTGGCTAGGGTTGTTCTGCGACACAACGTGGTCGATCATTGTTTCAATAGTAGCCATAGAAAGTGTGCATTTTGAAGATTCTATAAACTGTAAAGAGCCTGTAAATTATAACGAAGTTTGAATCAATCGCGGAATGTAAATTGTAAGTGCTTGATGGATTCTAAAGGTTGTAATCAGTTGAATATGTGCTGAGTAAAAACTGTAATATGCTAGATTCAAACCCGTAATATATCCTACCTTTCGTTTGGAGTGTTTTCTTAAGACCACGATGCAATTTCAATATGCATGGTAATCATTTTCGAGCCATGCATGTGGTCAGTTATGGGCACTTATGCAGTGCGATTCACGTATTTCGCCCTTGCAGCCTCGTCAGTTGCCCAGCACCTTTGGTTTTGGGCAATCCCTCTTGAGGTGGGGAGGGGGGGGGGGGGGGGGGGTGGAAACCCAACCTCTGAACTGAGGTTGCAAGCCTAGCCTGAAACACGTGTAAAACACTGTATAGTGCCTATTACAGGCTGGATCAAAAATAATTATCATGCATAATGTTTCCCTTGATACATTCACTTTATGGAAAAACATTAATGAACACCGCAATGCTCTTCGGTCAGTCATTTGACCAGTCAACAAATTCTATATTACCACTTCACAATGGCAAAACCTTTCGGTTTCGAGGATCTACATGTAATCCGACGTGGACGTGTGCATTATACTGTATACATGAATTTGGAAGTGTTTTTCGCTTGATAGAAGTTCTTTCACCAGACTTTTGATAATCAATCGATAGCTAGAGAAACGATTATCTTGATACCGCATTGGATTTCTGAAAAGGGCTTCTTAGTGCTCCCTAGCAGCAAAAATAAAATTATGCTTCTTTTTTGGTTTGCACATTTTGCTCGACTCCTGTCTGCGCTCGGCTTTTCATCAGACTTCTAGTAGTCATTCGACAGGGTTGTAAAACAGCTATTTCAACAAAAGGTTTGCTTTTTCGAAAGATCTTCCTGGTGCGCTGCAACAGCGAAGAGAAGACTGTGCCTTGCTTTTGAGTTATGAGAAAAAACCTAATCAAATAAAAGTCGTGCGTCGCTTGCGAATGGGGAGTAGCGAAGCGATCAGTTATCGTTTTCATAAGGGGTAAACACATCAAACGTATATTACCATCTTCTTCATCGACTGCAGTTAGAATCCATTGGTATAGAAAAAAGATAAAGAGTCTAGAGTTGATCAATCGCTAAAGGCATCGCCATTCATCCGACTCCGGTGTAGTACTGCAGAGATGATTGCACGCATATTTAACCTTTTGAGGACCAGCGTTAATATGCGCGCGACATCGCGCCGTCGCTTGCGCGGCGGTTCTAGCTGGCGGCATCTGCATCACTCTCGGGGTGAGGACATCAAGCTGTCTGCATATGCCTTCCCGCGAGATTCGCCGCCTTTCTCACGGGACACGGCGCAGCCATTACAGTAGCTGGGTGAGATTTGACGTCGCGCGGAGTGGGACGGAACGTCCCGCATGGTCCTTAGAGGGTTAACACATGTTCGCGGAATGATACCTAACCATCACGTCAACTTTCTCTATGTCCTCCGACACAAGTGTTGTATAGCTCTCTCACCTCCTTTAATCCCATATGGACAGTGAGAGTCAGCGACGCGGAATGATAGACCTCAAACCATTATTTTGCAGTTATTCGCCCGTATCAGCAAAGGCAGTTCATGAATACTTCTACTTCTTATGAATTGTAGAAAAGTAGAAAGTAGATCTCTTCAGACGATGTCCGGTACAAATTTCTAGTAGGTCGCCTCTGATCCGATACAGAAAACGTTGCAGAAGATGTCATGTGGCAATGGAAACAATGAGAGCGTTAATATCTTGAAATCAATTCTATTAAATTTTAATTGACTACTCGAATAAACTCAGTGTTTTTGAAAGGAAAAACTTGTTGAAAAGTATTCGATAAGTTGCGAATTTCTTCACACCTATGGGCCCACAAAATCCATGATTTGATCCCCGTATTCAGGGCTCAGGAAGCCTTTGATCCCTCCTGGGTCGGTGCATTGCAACCAGACTTGTCTGGGGGATAGGAGCACTGACTAGATGCATCGCTAGGCTACCATGAGTCGTTGTAAATGCCAGATATGCATTCCGCTCCCTCAAATGATGTTACGAATGGAATCGAATGCATGATCCAGGGATTGAACAACGCTAAGAGTTAAATCACTTCTCTTTCATATTAAAACGATAACAATAGTCTGTCTTCGTTGATGCTGACGAAAAAGTAAGATTACTGGGTTGAGTTTGTTCAAAGGCGATACCCACATTATGGTGCGTTTAAAAGCACACTCTGGTGGACCCTCTCCTGATCCAGCATCCGTGCTACGTATATGTATATGTATGTTGACATATGTATCCATGTATACATATGCATGCGCAATATGCATTTATATGTGTGTATATGTACATATATACATGTGTGAATGTATATATATATATATATATATATATGGAGCGCATGTGGCGCAGTGGTTAGAGGTGCCCTGCGTCGCACACGAGGTCAATGGATCGATCTCGCGCTCATGGCTCACCAAGTCATCCATCCCTCCGGGGTCGGTAAATTGGTACCAGACAGGTCTCAGACTTGTCTGGGAGGATAAGCAGCACTGACTCGGTTCAGCGGGAGGCCTCCGCGAGTCATTGTAAAGGCCAGATATGCATTCAATCACCTCAAAACGAAGTTAGAAATTGAAGTCGAATGCATGGCGCATCCCTCAGGGATTGATCAACGCCGAGAGCTTTATCCTTTATCCTTTGTATTGTATATTATATTAATATAATATAATATATATATTATATATATTATATATATATATGACCCGGTCTGATTTCTTCACGAAAGCGATAGAAGAAAGGTATGATGCTTAATAAATCCCTAGAGCGAGGAGGACCCACTGGGCTACTCTTGCACGCGATAGGGAAAAATGGAAGAGTTGCTGGTACCCGCTCGAGTCACTCGACGATCAACGAGACGACAGGTGATACAGGTGCTATATACATATATATTCTATAAATACGTAGACATATACACACATAAACATATATATGTATATATATACGTAAATATATATATATATATACGTACAGGTAGTCAAAAATCTGAAATTCTAACCCACGTTATCAACCATAGATCAAAGATGCCGCTCGACACGTCAAGCTATCGAAGGTAAGGTGAGCCGGACAAGTACTAGGTGTGCAAATATGACTTCACCATTTTATCTTCTGTAAAAATAGTAGTAGGAAGGAATGCATGATGAATTGTAAAAGAAGGCGCGTGGCCGAGTGGTTGTGATGCTTGTCACGGCGCCGTGGAGCCGAACTCCACCCCCACTTCTCTCCGGCAGTCAACAACAATGCCTTATGGAACGCCACAGCCAGGCTGTTCTTGAGATTGCAAGGAGACTTGCTCAAAAGTGTTCTACGACGTTCAATAAGAAGGAGAAAAAAAAAACTAATTGAATGGTAGAAGTACTGGGATCCGTACAGTAAGAAAAGAACACTGTGAAAACGATTTAATAAAGTGTTAGAAAAATTACAGTAAAAATAAGGATATACAAGTCTCTTTTGTTTCGAAGTATGTTCGAAACGCTATTTGTTCATTTCTTTTTGTATACAAAATATTTTACGTCATGGTTTTTCTAAGGATCTTGAAGATGACGACTTCTGTACCCGAAGATCGCCATTTTTAAATTTGTTCATTTGTAATTTGAATTTCTTAGCACTTTTTTGATCCATCATCACAATATTTTTTACTAAGCGGATCCTAGTACTTCCAGCATTCAATTCGTTTTCCGTCTTCTTCTTGATCGGCGTAGAATAGCGATTGAGCGAGTCTCCTGGCAATCTCGAGGATAACCTGGCTGTGGCGTTCCATAAGGCGTTCTTGTTGACTGCCGGAGAGAGACAGGGAGTGGGGCTAGGCTCTACGCGCGCAGCGACGACACAACCACTCGGCGACGACGATCGCGCCTTTATTGAAATTGTAAATTTAAAGTGGTAATATGACAGTAAAATGTGAGGGAGTAAGGTGGGTAAGGTAAAGCTTTTAGAACCTCCCACCTCAGCTCTTTCATGACGTTTTCGATCGGTTTCGAGGAACATGAGGTCGAGTGTTATCATGCAGCAAAACTGCAAACTATGCTTGATTAATGGAGCTTAGGCGATGACGTGGCTGCAGAAAGAACGGCCAAGATGTGGATCGCGAAGTTCAAAGCTGAAGAGAGCAGTCTGGAGGAATCTGGAGGATCAATCGCTCTCGGGCCGTCTACGGGAAGAGCTCCACTAATCATGCACGCCGCTTCACTAGCCTTGTGCTCCTACGCGCCATTCGTGCATGAGTAATAGGCGAATTTGTTCCCACGGCAGCTCCATCTTGAAGCAAGTCTAGGGTAAGATGCTCACAACAAAATCTGTACAAGAAAATGCACACTTGAACGATATCAATCAAGCAATCATTCAATTACTTAGTGATATACAAAACATTTGCGTCAGGCGGGACTCGAATCAGCATCTCACTTTATTCGTCAGCGAGTGCTTTAACCAACTGCACTACTGACGCCCGTTTTGCTATCACTCTTTCTTCGCTGCTCAATCCATATCAGCGTGATTGGGTTCAATGTCGATACCGACTACCTCGCGCCAAACCGTTGACGGTTGGTTGCTGACGCATAGATGCGTTGTAGCTTAGAAAGAGTGGTGGGCATAACGGGCGTCAGAAGTGCAACGGGTTAGAGCACACACTCCTGGGGCAGAGTGAGATGCGGGTTCGAGTCCCGCCCGATACCCAAATTTTGCATATCACTCTACATCAGTGGGTATACCTATAACCTTATAGCGCCCCTAAAAGAGGTCAAATGAAAAGAATTATGGTCATGCAATTACTTTTGGTTGATAAATCTGCAAAGGAAGGTTCCCGCAGATGGTGTTTTTGGGTACTAAAGACAAACAAATAGCCTTGTTTTACGCACTTTCAGACAAGAAAAATAATTTACTTGTCTTCTCTGCTGTTGTTACAGCAAAAAAAAAAGGCGGAGTCATTTGTACACCTTAGACTGCGCTTCAACGACACCGAATAGATGAGAATCGCTACCGACTGGATTCCTCGGGATATCAAGCGCTCACACAGGAAGACCACCGAGCCTCCGATCCGCCTTCACAAAAAGCCAAGAAGAAAGACATGATGCTCAGCGAATCCCTGAGGGCGAAAAGGACCCACTGGGTTACTCTGGCACGGATCGAGGAAAATGGAGGTGTTGTTGCTGCCCGCTCGAGTCACTCGACGATACCACAGGTAGTAAGGGGTTCATGAATTTTCCTTATAGAGGAACCAACGGGATTCCAGCTCGGGTAGTCGCGATGGCCTGATTTCTTCACAAAAAAGGGTTATATGATGCTCGATGAGTCTCCACTAGGCTCCTCTTTGCAGGTGATAGGAAAAAAAAAGAAATTCAAGTGCTACGCCCGCTCAAGTCACTGGACAATCATCGGGACCACAGCTGATATAAATCACGTGGAAAATCCACGAATATTCCTTATAAAGGATCTCAACGGGATTCTGTGCCCGATTAGTCGCGAGGGTTCGATTTCATCACGGAACCTTTGCAAGAAAAATGTTGTATTTCTTGCGGAACGCCTATGTCGAGGAGGACCCCAATGAAATCGTTGATACGCTAATATTCTGTACTGATAGTCCACGAAATATCCTCATCACCTGTATCACCTGTCGTCCCGTTGATCGTCGAGTGACTCGAGCGGGTACTAACAACTCTTCCATTTTTCCCTATCGCGTGCAAGAGTAGCCCAGTGGGTCCTCCTTGCTCTAGGAATTCGCTGAGCATCATATCTTTCTTCCATCGCTTTCGTGAAGAAATCGGACCAACGGGTCAGTGGTCTTCCTTTAGAGCGCTTGACGTCCCGAGGAATCCAGTCGGTAACGGCTCTCGTCCATCGGTTGTCGTTGAAGCGCATCACGTGTCCGGCCCATTTTATTTTCGATATCTTGGCGTGTAGAACGGAATCTCCGATCTCTGATCGTTGGCGTAGGTCGGAACTTCGGATCCTTTCTCTCATTTCCGAGATACGAGATAGAAAGAGCGATGTGCAAAATGGGCGTCAGTAGTGTAACGGATAAAGCACGCATTCTCGGAAAGAGTGAGGTGCGGGTTCTAGACCCGCCTGGAGCTAAAGTTTTGTACATCTCTCTATAACACTAGATACAGGATACTCCTAGCATCGACCTTTCGACTGCGCGTTCAATATCGCCAAGTGATCTCTCATCCGGCTTACGTGGCGACAGGAAAGAATGAAAGTGTTGCTGCTGCACATCCGAATCACTCGACGATTTAACGGGACGGCAGGTGACACGGGTGATGTACGGAGTCTATGGATCTTCCACATAGAGGATTCAGCGGGGTTCCCTGCCGCAGTAGTCGCGAGGGTTCGATTCCATCACGAAACCTTTCTATGAAAAATTAGATTTTTGCGGAATGTCTACATCGAAGAGGAGAACCCCATTGAAATCGTTGAAGATGTCCCACAACGCGCTAGATTATAGGGTTATTTGAAAATCGCGCCAGTTGACGCGGGCGCCCCATGCCTTGGCTCGCGCCATTTGCATTCGAATCAATGCGTATCACACGCAGCACGCTGAATCCGTCGCCGCTCGCACGTCTCTCCATTTTCGACTCGGCAGATCGTCGTTTATTCAAATATTTCTGACTCTTGGAAATTCCTCCGCGTACGTTTCCATTGTATTTCTTCAACATTTCTTAGGTAATTGGCCCATATTCGCGAGTTAACCCTCCCCCCCCCCCTCCCCAATTTTTAACCCTGACCCCGCATAAACCACCGCCCTTCTTTTTCCACTTTCGGCATGATTTCGAAGGAGTTTTTGTACTTATCTAAATATTCCTATTTATTCCCTTTCCCGAGACTAGACACTAATGATCAATCGGGGAAATTGGGAAAATGAACGAGCAATCGATAACCTTTAAAGGTGATGTTCCCACCAGTGGACTAGACAAGGACGGGGAAGGGAGGAGGCTTGAACACTGGAGGGGCTATAGTCCTTCATGTCCGGGAAGTCCACGGGTCAAATTGTCGAGGAGTTCCCTGGAAAGGGAACCCTGTGATCCTTGTGATTTTCCTATGAGGTTATTATCATTGTTCGATAGTTCAATGGAATTTTTTACAATCTATAAGAGTTTTCCATCCGATTTTGTTGCTTTCTGGCAGTGTAATAAGGTATTGTTCGGATACCGAATTGCGCTGACTGATTGCAGAAATTTCGACGCCGCCGGGAGTCGAACACGCGTCTTAGCCTTATTAGAGAAGCGGCTTTTATGGCATTGCGCTAACTTTTACATTAATCTAGCTCATGTTGCAGGGTTTTTCTCTACGTTTAATAAGGATGTACGGTACTTATATGTTAGAAGGCGGCAAATTAAAAACCGATCTCATTCGCTGGAGACGGAATTTTTATAGGAGTGTTAGTAATCATTCGAAAGCTTAAATCTCTGGCTAGAGTCGTACGTGGCCAGTTTTTCAAAACACCCTTTTATAAGACTGTAGTATTCAGAATAAAATTATGTTTCACACCCGCCCTTCGCCTTCATTTTTGTCACGCGTATAATTCGCTGGAGGCACGAAAAATGTATCAACGTGTAGAGGAACATTTGTGGTATCTGACTCAAGTCGTTTTATCTGAAGTTTCTTCAGAAGCGGAGAAGAAATTCCCAATTGAACAGCAAGTTGCATCTCACATATCCAGCGGCCCGGACATCGATTAGTTGGCCCCGACCCCATGGACTAAGCGATAAACAAGCGTGCCGAAAATGTAGAACTCGACCTTCTTATCCCTGCTAGCGATAGTTCCAGAAAATAAGCACAGCGTTGGTATCACGAAACTTGCGCTATGGAATGATTCCTGATATACCCCATAATGTGGAATGCTGTGCAAAGACATTTGCGTCGTGGTGCAACGGTTAGCATGCGCTCCCGGAAAGAGTGAGATCTGGGTTCGAATCTCAGCTGACGCAAATGTTTTGCACAGCTTTCCACATTATGGGGTATATTGCAAGATCATATCACCGCAAGTAGCGGTCAGATAAAAAGAATTCTGATAGATTCCTGATAGTCTAACGAAAGGCTCTGTCAGGCGAGGTGTTTAACACAAATCTTTTCTTTCTCCTATAGCGCAATAATAAGAGCTTTTCCAAAGAGCAAACATGTTTTTGAGTTCTTGGAAACTTGTTCTATCGAATGAATACTAGCACTCTAAAGAAGGCATTTTGTTCAGCGAAATATAAGCGAGATAAGGAGAAAAAACACACGTGGTCGTGTGAAACATACTATTATAAAGGATTTTACAGCGTTATAAAAGGGTGTTTTGAAGAACTGGCGACGTAAGGATATAGCCAGAGATTTAAGCTTTCGAATAATTACTAACACTCCTATGAAAAGTTCCTGTCCAGCGAATAAGGTTGGTTTTTCATTTGTCACCGGATGTGTTTCTATCCATGTTTCAGTGGAATTCTGTGTTTATTATCGCTTGAATCTTCTTAAAGCGGCTGACCATGGATTGACTTTTGCAGGCTTTTTCAAGTCACATGTCAACGGAAGACGGTTTCGACTTCATTTTTGACCGACTTCTCGTTGAAAGTGAGCAAGAAGAAGATGACGATACGGAGAACTACGTGGAATCGCTTGTCTATTCGCTGGACGAATCCGAAGAGAGTAGTGGATCGGACGACGATGAGAAGGAAGCTGAAGATGGTGGCGTCGACGATGGCGATAAAGCTAGCAGCGATGGTGAGTGGTCGACCGACCTCGTCCCGTACGGCCAGTGGATCTTCGACGACAGTCAGATCAGAGTCAATCAACTACTTCTGATCGTTTGTAAGGAGCCCGTACACTTCTATGAGTTGTTTATGATCGGGATTTGGGATCTCGTTGCACGAGAGACGAACCGGTACGGCCAAGAACACGATCAATCATGGGAACAGACATCCACTGAGGAGATGAAGCGATTCATTGCACTCTGCATTCAGATGGGCATTGTTCGATTGCCACGATTGCGAGATTACTGGAGCTCGTGCTCAATTTTCGGATCGAATCTCGCGTCCAGAGTGATGACACAGAGAGATTTGAGAAGCTGTTGGCTAACATCCATTTGGCCAATAGTGCATCTTATGATGGGAAGGACAGACTGTACAAAATCACTCCGCTTGTGGAGGTTTTCAATAGGAATTGTAACAGGATTTACAAACCCGGCAAGGAGGTCTGCATCGATGAGTCGCTCGTGCCGTTTCGAGGCATAGTCGCATCACGCCAATGTATTCCACAAACAAAGCACAAGTTTGGAGTGAAGCTATTCAAATTATGTAGCAAAGGCGGCTACACCCACAGAATTCTGGTACATGCAGGGCGAGGTCCTTCCGCGAACTGAAAGCGAAGCTGAGTCAGTTGTGACGTGGCTCATGGCCGATCTTTTGGATGATGGGAGACATCTGTACACTGATAACTGGTGTACGAGTGTTACGCTAGCTGAGAAAATGGTCCAGAGGAAAAACTCATCTGATCGGCACGTGCAAAACCAAAAGGAAAGGCCTACCTCGACAGATGATTCGACGAAAACTCAAGAAAGGTCAGCTGGATGCTCGGCAAAATCGAAACGGTGTTATGGTGCTCAGGTGGAGAGATAAAAAAGACATTATTATGGTCTCGACGATGCATGACGCAACTCTCTCGGCTACCTCATCGAAACCGCAAGTCGTTGAAAGCTACA